TAAAATAATAAGAAACAAATCTTACAAATTAAATAGTTGAATGAGAATGAAATTGAAAAAAAATATAATTTCATAAATTATCTCAAATAAAATAAATAATAATCAAAATAATAGAGATCTTATCTAAAAAATTAAAAAAATTAAAAGATGAAGATTAAAATAATAATAATTACCATTTCATAAATTATTTCAAATAAAATAAGTAAAAATTAAAAGAACGAGGATCAAATTTGATAAATAAAAATTTTAATTAAAAAATAATATGGGAAGAGCAAATAATAATTATAAAAGTAAAAATCAAAGTTAATATAAAAAATAAATTCTAGGAGATGAAATTGAAAAAAATATTGAAAATAAAAAAACAATATATATATATAGCAATTAAAAATTTACTTATATATATATATAGCAATTAAAAATTTGCGGATCAAATTTGATATAATTAGCAAATAATATGATATTTTTAAATTTTTCACAACTTCCGGAAAGTATTTTTTTAGAAATCAAACCAAATTTTTATCTGACCGGAAAATATTTTTTTCACAACTTCCGAAAAGTATTTTTTTGAAATCAAACCAAATTTTTATCTGATCGAAAAATATTTTCTATTGATCAATTTTTTTAATGATAAATAAATATAAAAAAATTTAAAAATTAATTTTTTAAAAATCACTTTTTAAAAGATAAACACCATCTTAAAGTATTAGCACGGTGATTTAAAAGGATTTGGCATCAACATAAAATAATTTCTTCGTTAATCTTCTTATCAACATAAAATTCATATTAATCCCCTAATCTCAGTGAGGATACAACTTCTTTGATTGATGTAAGCTTTAGAATGCTCTTAACAAAGACAATTTAATAACATTGCTGAAGACCCCTTCATTCATTCTTATGTCAAGAACCAACTCCATATCACCAGTCTCTTTGAAGGGACGGTTCCATTTAAATCTCAGGAGATTTTGGTGGCCCGTAAATAGATAAAAACATGAAGAGCGTTAATTATTAGGTGAAACAATATAAATAATAAAATGAATATTTATGAAGCTGTGTTCTTCAGACTTGATGACCTCCATATGGTGAGGATATTTGCTTTTCCCTGTTCTAGAGGGTAAAATCATGAATTTGAACTCGTAAATACTGAAATGAATATTTTAAGAATTTAAGGGGGTAGTTGCTCCCTTCTTCTACATGCAGGGCCTCTGTGCTGGATAATATCTATAAATAGTAGCAAGTGAGAGGCCGATCAATCTGCTGGCGGAGCAGCCTCTGAAGTTATGAAATATAGTTCAATGCTCCTAATATGTTTACTTCAGTCTTTGAGACACCGAAAGCTCACAGGGAAATCTTCAAGGTCATTTAATTAAATTTAATTGTTTCTTCGTCTTTCCTCAATATACATAGATGAAAAATCTATATGAATAAATATAAATGGAATCACAATTATAAATAAATGAATTAAAAAAAATAACATGTTATTATTATAAATAAAAACATTAAAAAATACATTTGTTGCTAATATCTGTCTGTCAGTATATCTATTAATAATATTTAAATTATTATAACCTCACAGACAATTCCCTATTTTTCTTCTCCTTTCTTTTTGTCATGCAAATAACAATATGCATTAAAAAATTTATATCATCACAAATCTAATTACTCCAACACTTAATACGTAAGCATTCCTAGCGAAGTTTTTTTTGAAGACGGATCTCACGAATCTTTGAGACAGGACTCAAAGCACTCAAGAACTAGCTGGACATCACGAGGGGTCTTGAGACCAAATGCTGTTAAAAGTTTAATGGTAACCATGTGTACCATGATACTGAAAGGATCGAAACAAAAGATGTTAATTTAATGATT